CCCGGTGCATAAAACTTGTGCACTCAGACGGGTCCCTCAGCCCAGCCTGTGCCCTCTCAACATCTGGGAGCCCTCAGGGGATGTCCGACTGACAGCTTAGGCTTGCTCCCTGCTCCCTAAGCCATCAGTCAGACATCCTTAGCGCTGCCACGGAGGCAGGAGAGGCTCCCGCCACCACCACTGTGCTTGCCAGCCATGAGCCCAGCTTCTGGCTGAGCAGTGCTCCCCCTGTGGGAGTACACTGACCACCAGGAGGCAGCTCCTGCATTGAGCGTCTGCCCCCTGGTGGCAGTGCACGTCACAGCGACCAGTCATTCCACTGTTCGGTCAATTTTCATATTAGCCTTTTATTATATAGGATATTTCCAAATATTCTGTCCCAAACTCAATATAAAAAATAGACCTGCTGTGATTCCATTAATGTTAAATTCATGAACTGACAAACTTTATATATGATGACAGAAATCAGAATAGTGGTTACCTATAAGGAACTATTAACTGGGAAGACAGAGCTTTCTGAAGTGCTGGAAAAGTTCTAGAGCTCAACATGTTGATTACAATGTTAAAAATGATGGAACTGTTCCCTTATTGTATTACCTCAAAATAAAAGAATCTATGGATTGTGTCAGAGCACGCAGCAGGAGCCCCACACGAGCTCTGGTGCTCTGACTGGTTCTGGGTGGCTGTGAGTCCATGTATTCTTCTAAATTCACCCATCCAACTACGCCAGGGCTGGTTCCTGCTTGAATCCTGCCCACTGTACTAACTGTTGGGAACTTAGTCCAAGTTCCTCCTTTATCCTCTGCTCACTAGTAACAGGTGTGGGGTCTGAGCCCCTCTGCCTGGGGCTGGACCTCCTAGGATGCCGGGTCTTACCCAAAGAAGCAATGAGAGGTTGTGAGTATAGAAGAATGAGTCTTTATTGCTGAAGCCAGTGACCTTATAGCCATCAGACAAGAACAGTCCTCACAGCAAAGTCCATACGGGCAGGCAGCCAGACACCGGCTGGTGAACATATATATTTCCCATAAAGCAGCATCAGTCTCTGTACCCACAGCTATTAACTGAGCAGCCTCATGCTGCCTCCTAGACTCACCACTTCACATCATAGTGGTATCTGAGCTCTCTGGCTCCACAACTTCTCCTGTCTCTCCTGCCCAGCTGCTCTCTCTAGCAGACTTTTTCACACACTCCATCCTAGCTGCTCTCTCTCCATACTCCAGCAGACTTCTTCTCACTCCCACCTTAGCCTATTCCAGCCCGGTCCAGCTAACTAGAGAGTTAGTAACCCAGTTTTATACCATTTAGACAAAGAAGACTTGGTGCCAACAGTGACTTCAATCATATTGGCTACTGAAGGCCAGTGTATCGTGTGTCCTTGCACCCGCTCATGGTATCTTGGCCTGATTAGGATTCCCAGGCTCAGAGTCCTTGAACATTCCCTTCAGGCACATGCTCTGTGCTCCCACAGATTGACAGACCAAAATTTAAAATACGGTTTTTATTCCAATTTGTGACCAACCTGTTAATTCCACTTGCATTTACTAAGAAGTTAACAGGGTGTAAAATTTTCTCCATTTCTTCAAGTATATTTTGTACATCATGTTCTTTGGCATCATCACAGCTGAATGCCAAATGACCACTTACACTAACTTGTAACTTGAATTGAAAAATTATCCAGTGCACATTTGTTAAGCATCTACTATGAGCTAGGCCTGTGCTAAACTAGAACCTAGAGATAAAGATGCCATGGGTTCCTGATCTCAAGAAGTTCAGTCTAATAAAATTGGGATGAGGGCAAGTGGAGAACAAGGAGAAATAAAGTAATACTACAGAACATACACCTTAAAACTTGTTTTTAATCAACAAAAAGTTAAGGGAGAAGCCTTTTTTGTGTTCATAATGCTTTGTAAAATTTACCTAACAATACTTTTATCTTTGACACTGACCCCACCTACTCAATCCATCAATCTTCTGGGTTTTATATTCCTTTTGAAATGTATGTCTAATTCTCTTAGGGTTTTGTCCAGTTGTTTTCCTGGTCCTGCCTTGAGCATAAACTCTAGGGTTCCTTTTTTCTTTTCCTTCTTCATTATGGTACATGTTTTATTATTATTACTCCTCCTCCTACTACTACTACTATTACTATTATTCCAGCCTGACCATTAGGAGAGATAAAACAGGTAGCTGTAAAAAAAAAAAAAATGCTAAAACTACAAACCATGAAAAAAAAACTTTTTACTAAAAGCAACAGTTATTTCTCTTTTTAAAAACGTTCATTTTTTTCAAATGTTTAAAAAACAAAAAGTGACACTTCAAAGAGCACTCTATTTAATAATACAGCATTTTAACACTCTGAAATGTAGATTTTTTTAACTACTTATTTCTGGCAGACCTTGCCTACCTGTTAACACTAGAAGTGCTCCCTCAAGCCTTTAAAAACAGTAAATCATTGGGAAGTCACACTTCTGGGTGTAAGCCACTCATGGAACATGATTCAAAGAAATGAAAGGCCCCGAGCATCCTGTGTCTCACTCGTGGCTTTCATCTGAAGAGCTGCTGGGTCCACAACAGCCCTTGAAAGCTCAGCCAACAGTTCCCATCTAGTCCAGCAAACATGCTGGCTGCCGTGACTCCATAAGGACCACCACTTGTTCGCCCCTTTGTCAAAGTAACATAATAGCAAGGAATATGAGCAAGAAGCAAGAAGCATTCACTGAAACTCTCCCTGGTCTATAACTTGGGTGTGTGTGTTTTCTTTTAGAAAGTCTAACATTCTCCTAACCAGTGTAACCAATTAGGGTGAACTAATGTTATTTGAAAGGTTCCAGCCACCAGATGCATCTCCAGGCCTCTATTCCTGGTAGTGAACGAGGTGCACCTGTCCATCCTAGCAATTAAACAAATGGCAGCATCTTAATACCTCCTTACCACCAAGAGACTGAAATTCGGAAAACAAGTAACTGATCCATTTTGAAACAGGAAAAAAAAGTTTTTTGAGGTTTCAATGTCATTAAAAGGAATCTGGCAGAACAAAATCTGAAATTGTCCACTTGTAAAAGTCACCGGAAGGATTTAAAAACGAATTAAGTGCTTATGGAGCTATTAAAGCAAAGCAGGTACATCTCAAAACTGGCTGGTACTCAAAACATCTCCATGCAACAGTTTGGGGCATCCACACACTGGCAGGAACAGCCCTCAGCGAAACTAAGCCAGCTTTTCATGCCTGACACGCCTGCCTTTCCAGCCTCCACTCCCTCCCGCCCAGCCCTGCCTCCTGGCCACCTGTGATCTTGCCCTGATGGGTGAGCCCCTTGCCCTACATACAAAGTTAGCTGCTGTGTGGCTCTCCTTCCAGACGCCAGAACAAAGCAGCTCCCAAGGCCAGCACTAGGGGGGCGGGTGCCTATTAACCGGGCGCCTCACAAGACAACTAAGTCTCAGCGACCGGCAGGAGGCGCTCTGCGGGAAACAGGACGGGGCGGGGGGGCGTGTGTCTCTGCACACACGTGGGCAGCTGCATTTGTTATACCTCAGAGCCTTAGCGGCCATGCCCGCTCCCTTTACAAACAAGGGGACTTCGGGCGCTTGGACCGCAGACACACAACTGGACAACTCCACCCCGATACGACCTCGGGGGAGCCGGAAACTCGGAGGCAAAAGAGTTCAGAGTGTGCCGAGCCCTGTCCAGATTCGCGACTTTTATACCACCGCCGCTCAAAAAAAAAAAAAAAAAAAAAAAAAAAGCTCAACCGCCGCGAAAAATAGCCCAACCGCTTCGAATGGAAGCACCTCCACCTCTCCTCCAGCCTCCGTATTCCGACCACGCAGGATACCCAGGAAAGGCGCTAAGAGTAAGGAGTTCGTGCGCCAACGTCAACCCCGCGCGGGTCCCCAGGCGCCCCACCGTCAAAGGAGAGCGCGGCCGCACTGCATGCTGGGACTTGTAGTCTTGATGCGGGAAGGAAAGAGGCGTGGGCATGTTGCTCAGTGAGAAGTGTACTCCGTACCCCTTGGCACCTGAGAATCAAGCTTCGGTGGCCAACCACTCCTGTTTACCTGGAATTGCTTAATGGGATTGCTAAGACTCTGGACTTTCCGTTTTACAATCAGGACAGTCCCCAGCAAACCAAGACAAATTGATCACCATTAGAACCTAAAATATATGCAATTATAGGCAGATTTTTGCCTGGGATGGGGGCTGTGGGTGTCCCTAACCCCAGCGTTTCAGGGGCTACTGTACACTATTCGGAGTTCCAGTGTCTGCCTTTCATCCAGTGTTTGTCTTTGACTGGGGAATGCATGTTCAACCTGTAGTGGTCCCTAAGTATCAAATTCATACCAAAACCTACCCTACCTTTTCCTTCCCCCAAGTTGCCATAGAAATGGGCCTCAGCTGGACATTACCATTCATCCCAAAAGGGCATTGCAAAGGCAGATGTCCTGTTAAAAACAAAATATAATAGGAGCTTAAGAAGTATTAATTGAATGATTGAATACTCTTTCAGGATCAATAAAACAAGCATTAGCTGCTGCTGCAAACAAAAATAGGTTCATGCAATTCTAAAGATATGTGCTGAGTACTCACAGTTAATAAGCTAAAAGCTGAGTGATTGTTACAATTATACTATAAAAGGGAAGCCTTGATATAATATCATTTCATTAGGGATGGTTAAGGAAAGTGTGAGCCACATTCACTACTACTACTGCTAAAAAAAAAAAAGTGACAACAGGACTAAATACACAGGAAACACTACGGAGTAGTCCAAAAACAAAGTACAAAATTCTATTAATACCAAAAAAATCAGAGAAAAGGGAGAAGAAAGAAATGCATGGAAAAGCTAGATTTGAGGGCTAGATGCAACCTGAAGGAGAAGAGAGAAAACTAAGCAAATTAAGCATTCTTTAAAATATTATTTTTATTCCACCTAGATCCAAAAGGAATTTGAAATGACTTACAAAAATTCATGAGTACAACCTCATGCCCATTAGAATAGCTACTATTCTTATACAATAAAAGGCTAATATGTAAATTGACAGAACAGTGGAACGACAGGTCACTATGACACACACTGACCACCAGGGGGCAGATGCTCAATGCAGGAGCTGCCCCCTTGTGGTCAGTGAGCTCCCCACGGGGAGCAAGCCTAAGCCGTCAGTTGGACACCTTCTGAGGGCTCCCAAACTGCAAGAGGGTGCAAGCCAGGCTGAGGGATGCCCCCCCCCCCCCCCGTGTGCACGAATTTCATGCACCAGGCCTCTAGTTAAAAAGAAAATAAGTGTTGGTGAGGATGTGAAAAAACTGGAGCTCTTGTGCACTCTTTTGGGACTGTAAACTGTTGCTTTGGAAAACAGTATGGTAGTTCCTAAAATAAAATTAAAAAAAATAGAGCAATTGCATATAATCCAGCAATTCCATTTCTGGGTATATACTCAAAAGAATTGAAAGTAAGCTCTGGAAGTGATATTTGTGTACCAGTGTTCAAAGCGGTGTTACTTACAATAGCTAAATCATTGAAGCAACCCAAGTAACCATCCAGGAATGATGGATAAGTAAAATGTCACACACACACAAATATTATTTATTCTTAAAAGGTAAGGAAATTCTGAAATATGCTGCAACATGGAAAAACTTTGAGGATGCTATACTAAATGAAATAAACCTGTCACAAGAAAGATGAATACTGTATGGTTCTACTTATATGAGATACTTAGAGTAGTCAAAACCATACAGAAAAGAAAGGGTGGAGGAAGAGGAATAGAGAGTGATTGTTTAGTGGGTATGATGTTTCAGTTTTGCAAGATGAAAAAAGTTGTGGAGAGGAATAGTGGCATTGATTGCCTAATGGTAACCCTATCCCTAACCCTAACGGTACAATATAGATGTGCTTGATATTTCTGAGCTATACACTTAAAATGGCTGGGGCACTATTTTTCTTTTTCTTTTTTATAATTCTCACCTGGGGATATGCTCATTGATTTTAGAGAGAGGAAGGGAGAGATAGTGAAAAACATCGATGTGAGAGAGAAACATCAATTGGCTACCTCCCGCATGTCCCCCAACCTGGAATCCAACCCGCAACCCCTTTGGTGCAGGGGATGATGCTCCAACCAACTGAGCCAGCCGGCCAGGGCAAGACAGTAAATTTTATGTTATGTGTAATTTACCAGAATTTTATAAAAATTGGGGCAGGAGGGAAACCCCAGCAATACTAATATTAACACTGACAATAAGAGTACTGAATGCAGTTTAAGATTTCTTAATGGAATTGGGTTTTATCCCTAAAGTATGTATAGAAACACTGCCATTTAAATGCTGTGATTTCAAAACTCCTTAAATATTTCTTTCTAAGGAGTTATGCCACAAACTTGACACCAGCTTGTTTCCAATTCTTGGAAATTGCCTTATTTTTATCATTTTTATTTAATTTTGTCTTTTAATTATCTGAAACAGTTACATGGTTCTTAAGTGTAAACCACAAAACAGGTACATTCAGATAGTATAGCTTTCATCCATGCCCTTGTTTCCTCTTTTCTTCCTACCCCTATTAATCGCTGATTTTGTTAATTTTTTTTATCCTTCAATTTTTTTTTTAATATTAGAAAATGCACATATCTGTCCTGTTCTATCCTCTTTCTAATACAAAAAGTTGCAGGCTGTAAATACTGTTCTACACCTCGATTTTTCAGGATACCGTATCTTGGAGATTGCTCCCTGGCTGTGTACTGAGACCCGCCTGCTCCTTCACACAGCTGCACAGTCCTATACTCTGGGATTATGATTGGCAGAATTCCAGCTATGCAATCAAACACTTATCTAGGAACAACTGTGAAAGGAATTTAAAGGTATCATTAAATTCCAATTCAATGAACTTTAAAATATGTAGATTACGTGGGCAGGCCTAATCTGATCAGGTGACACCCTTCAAAGCAGAGCCTTTCCTCTGGCTGGTGGCAGAGGGAGCCAAAGACATTGGAGGGGTGAGGGGCACTCAGGCCGGGCCAAGTGTTCCTCTGGCCTCCAGGAAGAATGCAAACCGCATGCTATACACTGCTAACCGAGAGGCACAGCCTCTGGAGGCTGAGAGCAAGCCCCAGCTGAAACCAGCAGGAAATAAGGACCTCAGTCCTATGGGTGCAAGGAAGTGAATTCCGCCATTAAGCAGTGAGCCGGGGGGAAAAAAAACCCTGAGCCTCAGATGAGAACTGGAGCATCAGCCAACACCCTGACTTCAAGTCTCTGAGACAGGAGCAGAGGATTCAGCTACACAGAGCTCAGACCCCTGACCCGGGGAAGGTGTTAGATTAATAAATGCCTGTTGTCTTTAAAAAAATTCATTAGAAAATGACTTTACAAGGCAAGGGACCACCCTCAGCCCCCAAGGCCAGAGCAATAACATGAGGTCAGTGGAAAAGTTACACAAATAAAGTCAAGCCACAAGAATATATTCAGTACTAAACAAGAGATGCATATGTGATTCCGAGTTACCTAGTGGCCAAAGCAGCTAAGGAAACATGATATACAAGCAATAATAGCTATAAGAAATACATGCACTTGTGCAGCAGAGCGATCTGAGTGAAATTTCCTCCTCATAGGTCCTCATAAAGGACACACTAAGCAGTAGAGTGGACTTCGCTGTCATGAAAAACTGTATAAGGTTATTTTTATAGCATCCATTTTGTAAGCAGAGGTCAACACACCAAAGCAGACTTTACTGAAAGCAAATACAATAGGAGCTATACTTCACTAAAAGTGAATACAATGGGTGATAGCAGACCTTAAAGGCAGATGCAGGCATTAAATACAGAGGCACTTTGACCCCAAAAGTAACAAGATAAAAGCTGAATTTAAGAACAAATAGTCTAGCAATGCTATCAGGATGAGTTGGAGCAAATTTGTCCAAGCCCCTCTCTCACTACCCACGCCTATGCAACCTTGGAAAGAAACATCTGTTTTACACAACTGACCAATGTGTGGGCCAGCCTAAAGGCCAAGAGAATTCTCGGATCCAGCATCGCAGGGCAAACCAGAGAGGGTCAATCTTTGTGGACAGTTCTGTCGATTGCAAAAGAAAAGGGTTATATTTTTCCTATAATTGTTATTTCAGCAAAAAGCACCGTTTATTAGATTTATCCCAGCGACCTCAAAGATCATTAACACACAATGTGAGGTGGCATTCAAACTTCTCAAAACCTTCCATTTTTTCCTCACTGTGTATCTACAGTAATGGTTAGGCTGAGCTTTCTTTTTTCAACACATACTTTAGTGTAAACCCAAGACTATTATTTCCCCCTCAGTACAACAGCACTGCTGCCTGGGCGAGAATACACCCATCACAGCACATCCACCATGAGCCAGGTACCGGGGGAGAGGTTCTCCTAAGCCCTTGACAGTGAGCTGAGAGGCTGTAAATTACGCCGGGTCTGCTCTCCCCAGCGGAGCAACAAGGAGCCATGAGCACAGCCCACCTCAGTCTTCTCTTCTCACTGCACAGGTCACTTCTGATACTATTCTGACCACATATTTTATTTTTCTCTAATTTAAACCCACATCAGACTATATTCTTTCTTGACTCCAATAACCAGAGGCGCCTGAGAATATTCCTTATGTACTAGTAGGAGGACAATTAGCTAAACTTTTAAATATACATACTTTATAGTATTTTGTCTTGTTAGGAAAGGAATAGCATTTAATTGCAAAAGAATATATAAAAAATTAATTGAAAGCATTGTATACATTAAATGGGTAAATTATAAGATATGTATATTATATCTCAATAAAGCGGCTATTTCAACATTAATTGAGCCCTGGCCGACATCGCTCAGTGGTTAGAGTGTCGGCCCTTAAACCAAAGGGTCTTTGGTTCGATTCTGGTCAAGGGGCATATCTGGGTTGCAGGTTCCCTGCCTGGTTGGGTGTCAGAGTCATAGTGATAATGATAGGCAATAAGTAGAGAGTGTCACAATGTTATAGCAATAGAA